CTTTCTCTCTTTCCCTCCACACACTATCTTCTGATTCATATTTCTTAGTCTTACTGTACTTTTATCTGTGTCCCTGAAAGTTTTTTCCCCTTAGAGAGTCAATACTTCCAGGAGAATTTCTAGTTCAGCATTAGGTAGAAAAAGTCTGAAGGGAGAAAAATGAAAAAAACCAACCCAGGCCTGTCTCTGAGAGCTCAATTCTGCACTCCTGACTTTTCTCAAAAGAATCTGGTATATGAAGGCTTGTATGTAAACAGATATCATTCCTTCTGCTTCCAGTGCTATATATTTACTTACAGGGCTGATACACTGAAAAGCACGCAGGGATACAAAGTATTAAACAGTAAGTTTATGTTCCAGCTCTGAAAACTAGTTCCAAAAGCGTTATAGTTTATACCATCATAAATATTGGTGAAGACAAAGTTAATATAATACACTAACTAGCTCCTCTAATGAGAACTTAAGTGCCTAGGAAAGAAGTGCTCTAATGTAATTCCGGTTCATATTCAACTGCAGAGTAACATCTCCTTTGAATAAGACACATGATAGCGATGAAAAAGGAATTCAAAATCCCTACAGTGAGAATTATTCAGTGTCCTCAAAACAAGCTCCTATTTGACTCTTGGTTGAGTGGACATTTGGGGCTTTTTAACATCTTCCAAACACACATCTCTAGCATTTGAAGCATTTCACATGTGCTTGAAATAACACAGAAAAGGGTTTATTAAACATTTTTGGAAGGCAGCTTTTCCTTCTAGACACTAAGCCCCAGAAAAGGCATATAGAATAAACCTGACTCGTTTTAGCATGAATGGGTTAAATATTTGACCTAATTACTGCTTATAATAATGATTTTTTTAAAAAAAGCTTTTTGGTACTTTAAAAGGGACAAATATTGAAAATACTTCTGAAATTCCTCAAATTCTGGGATTTTTACATTTACAGATTAATAGTTTGTCTTAAATACAGCTAGCAAAAGTATAATACACAACCAAGACTGTACAGCTGTGCTATCATTTAAAAAGCATTTTTACTCATTGCTAATTTATCATCTGTTTGGGATACTGATCTGTGTAGCACAGGCTGGTAACTATTTCCCTGATACAGCATCTTTCTATACATCACACGATTTTGTGATCTGGTTTCTTTTGAGAAATGCTACTATGACATCTAAAACACCTCAATACAAATGCCTCAAAAACCCAAAGGCTGACTCAGGAGAACCAATGTTAATTCAGGCTCAGAGAAGCAACATGTAACCCACCTTTTAGATTTGTCTTTGTATGCCAAACTGCCATGATAGGTAAAAGACGACTACACAGATTATTAAGGAGGACTTTCAGACATAAAGAGACATCAGGGATATCAAGCAGAACAGTGGTTGGTCTCGTTGAGGACTGTGTGGATCTGTCACAGGTCACACTACCCAGCCAAACCTGTCATGACCAGCAGGGAGATACAAAGAGGACTATGGCCTGGTTTTATTTGGCTGCACAAACATTTTGGGAATAAACAACACAGGAAGAATGGCATACAACTCAAAGCTGAAAAGAAGGTAGCTGGCTCAGAGTCGGGGCTTTTAGCTCTTTAGAATGGAAACCTGGCCATTCACTGGTTTTCAGGGTGAGAAAGGGTCTGTCTAGAGAGTTCTTCCGCTAACGGAACGACAGTAAGCACGCATTGCTGGTGACATCTGCCAGGTCTGAAACACAGAAGGTTTTACAGGCTGACACGCAGGGAGGTTAAGCCATGTGGGCAGATCCACCTTGCCATTACATATTAGAGTCATGAAAAAAGGTACTCCTCCAGGATTCTTTTTGTATAGTAGTAATTGTTAGGAAACAGACAAGACCACCAATCCTCACATTCATCTAAGACACTGCAGGAATGATACTGTCTGAAGGATTAATAAATTACTAATTTTGGTAAAGTGAGTTTGGTAAAAAAAGCAGTCACAAATAATGGGCCAGGGCCTTGCACCCAATGGTTGGTACTAAAGGCAGTTCTGAAAACTCTAGAGATGGGAGGGTCACACCACCCTTACTAGGCAAGTCCCACACAGACTCACAAGTGAAGTTAATGTCATCTTTAAGCCTGATGTTGCCTGACTAGGTGTCAGGTCTCTCCACCTTTAACCAAGCGCTCGCACAGTTAGTGCAAAGGCTAAGAGGGGAAACCTGACTCTGGAATCTTGCTACCTGTACTGGTAGTCATGGGACTGTTTCAGACTCTCAGCTCAAAAACCCATGGTCACAGCTGCACTACAACTGATGCCTTCTGTTGTTGCACTTTCAAAAACATCTTTTTTTAAGTCAAACATTGTTTTCATGGACCATTCTGAAAGACACTGTCTGAACTCTGTTCTTCACCTAAAACTGAAGGGAAGAACAGTGAACAAAACATTTCAGAGACATATCCCTTCTTAAAGAGGAAGTGTATACACTGCGCGTTGTAACCTAATGGTCTCGGACTATCACTTTTTAATAGCTTTGTATGGACTCAGAGTAGTGACTCCCCCTATCCACACATCCCATCACCTCCATTTTTTCAGAACTAGGGCTTATGTACTGACAGAACATGAATGGGATCCAGTATTTTCTTAAAGTTACCTATTACTGCTCTGCTTTTCTAATGTGGTGTGCGGTCATATAATGCCTTACATATATTTATAGAAGGAATTGAGTATATGCCACCCTCTAGTTACTTAGGTGACCAGTGTTCAAAAAGGTTCTTTAACCATATGCTAAATTCACGTTTGTGTCTCAGCTAGTTTTCCCTACGAGCTATCCATGTATTCACGCTTTCCTGCTTACGCAGTTTTTGATCTTTTCTGTATTCCTGATGACTGTCAGAAAAAGGACAGTCACTGAGCACACGCTACTGTCTGCACTAAATCAGGAATTAGTTGTCCAGCTCTAGGTGTAATGTGACATCCTCTTTCTAAAAGAGCATGAAGATTTTCTTTCATGCATGTTTCTGGGCTCTTTTTTGGTCCACAGAATATTTCGAGAAAAGCCTGCCTGAGGAAAACAAACTAAAACCAACAACAAGAGGAACTGCCACAGAAACTTACTGGAAGGCATTAAAAATTAAATAGCTTTCTAAAGAGCTCTCAGACTTAATAGTAAAACCTATTAAAATTGTCTATACTGATTTAATTTGTAACAATTCCACTTCAGACGACTTTGCTTGGTTGTTGGATAGGAGTTCAAAGTGCAAAATATGTTTTCTTCCCCACTACTAATACCCATACACTTCCACCATCTCAAACACTTGGCAGGGGGGTGAGGAGAATGCAACCACTATTTGAAGTTGAGGTCGTAAGATCCAGATGAATTCAGACTGCAGAAGAAGCATGCTCCAAAACAAGAGAGTCCTCATACAGAACTCTTTTGGCAGACACTCTCCTGGCAACCAAATCAACAACCTCTAAGCACAAGAGCCTCAACCGATCTTCTCACACCATTTACATCACAGACTCTCAGATAAACAGATGCATCTGAAGATGTTCAATGCCAAATGGGCAACTTCAGTGAGGCTCAGATGCCACCCAAAAAACCACCAACACAGTAAGCATAACTGGAGTATGCTTATGGGAAGATACTTAATCTTCACCCCACATTCCCCAAATCATTCTCTATATTTCCTAGGTAGTTCTATTTTCCAAACAGACCTAAAAGCATAATGCAGGAGCTCTTGAGTGAATGCAGCAATGTATAAGTGGTAGAAATTTACTTTCACAGTGTATTATGGAACATACATGAACATCTTTACTCAAATGAGCTGAAGTTCTAAGTTTCATACGTCACTAAAGTCGATGGAGTTACACATGTGAAGCTGAAAGGCAAGCAAGTACTCACTAAAGAAAACATTTATACCCATGCACTTCTGAGTCTTTTGTCAACAGTAAGAGATCGTATACTGCAACACATTTTTGCTTCTGAAAATTCAACGATGAACAAATATACTTTGTGATAACATACCTTGAAGTTGCAATTTCCACTTTGGTTCTTGCCATGGCAGCTGCTCTCTGTGCACCCTCTATTGCTCTATCCACCTTTTCTCTAGTTTTTGTGTTTCGTATTGGTATAAGTTGCTTTCTTATTCCACGAACCAAAACATTATTTTTATATTTTCCCTCTTCTTTGGTGCCATCTGGAAACATGGTACATCCATATCCATGCCTCCTGTTATTTAGCCATTCTCCTTCGTATTTCATACCATTTGAACGCTCGCTGATACCAAAACCACTGCGCTTGTCATTCTTCCATTCACCCATGTAGGCTTCTGTAGTGGTGGCATCAACGTGGTCTTCCATCGGGCAATAATCACAGTCACCGTCTCCAAAACTAATGGTAGAGTTGGCATCGCTAGAACTAATTCTGCTCATAGCAGCATCACTCCTGACAGAGCTCCGTTTGCTAGATATCGATGACCTAGATTCAGATTTCCTAAGTTTTATACTACCAAGAAGGGATCCTCTTCTGAATAAGCCTCCTTTTTTCTTAATGCCCACGGCTTCTGGATCACTGTGAAAATTGAGCACAAAACCTCCTCTTGTTCCAGCCGGGCTGTCTGAAGTGACATCATGCAGAACAGTGCCGTTACTCTGCTCACTCCGAAGCGAAGCTAGAGATGTTCGGAGAGGTGAACGGATCACAGTTGCCATGCCATAGGGTACACTCTGACGTACACCATATCCATGTCGCATCCCTCCTGTCCATTGCCCCTGGTATGTACCTTTTAAAGCAATAAGGAGAAATTTAAATTTAAGAAGCTGTAGAATACCTAGTACTCTACACCCAGTATGCTACAGGCAATACTGCGTTGTCAGCTCTGGTTTTGGCAAGAAGAAATGCAGAAAAATCACAGCACATGACACAGTGGATAAACTACTTTTGCTGCTTGTTTTTCTTATAAATTATTTTTCTGCTTAACAAAGCCTTCACTTTCCTAGCTGAAATAATTCATTTTGGCAACTGAGAGACAGTAACTATAACCATAAGCATTTTTTGAATGGATCTGTCCATGGGAAAATTTTTAAGATAAATTTCTATAGCAGAACTCCCTCAGCACTTTTTTAAGGCGGTCAGATGGGGAGGTAGTCCACAAAAGCAGAGCCACACTACATGCGGTCAGCTAGAGAGGGAGACAGGAAGGGAGGGAAGCAAGACACTCCTGGCTCGTGCCTCCAGCTGCTCACAGAAAGAGCAAGTAGGAGTAGTAAACATCTGATTATTCTAGGTTTAAGTTGAGTACAGACCTCTCCCTGTCAGGACATATTTGATAATCCACTAAATTGTCTGGACTTCAGTGGGCCCTTCGGATCCATGGCTATAATCCTCTATTGCGAAATTAAAGTTTCTGCATGTCCTTGAATTAGAGAACAAAACCTCAGTATATTTACACTTTATGAACTCCTGATATCAACACTTTTTGTTATCCCCAGCACTGTGAACATGGCACTGCATTATGTTGTGACAGAAAGACCAGAAACATGAATCCTTCAGCACTTTTTTTGCTTTTAATTTGTTCTGCAGTATGCAAGAAAGACAAGGAAGTAATAAGCAAAATACTTCACACCTTTTTACCATAAATACATGTAACTGTTGCAATCATAGCTTTTTTTTGGTTTTGGTTTTTTTTTTTTTTAAACAACAATATGAGGAAGAGCAACACAGTATTTGATAGGAGAAGTCAGGGATATACACGTAAGGGAGTACACGCAAAGCTGCATCCGACCCAAAACCCAGCATTATCAGATTACTACTGCAGACAATTATTTTCTTGTATTCTCAAAAGGCATCTTCATTTTGATGAGATACACACTTCAGTGTCTGGTCTCCAAAAGCCATTTGTACCAGATGTTCCAAAGGAAGGTGCCAGGAACCCCACAACTGGCAAACACAAGAAAATTTGCTTTCTAAAATCATTTCACTCTAATTCCCATTAAACTGCTTTAAGTTCCTCAAAATGAAGTCTCTCACTGCTGCTTTTTTTTTTTTTTAAGCTATTTTGAGTCTGAATACTCTTACAGAAGGATGAATAGGCAATCTTTAAAACATCTTTAATTTTGATCTGCTTTAATTGGAGCACCTATTAAAATTATTCTTCAGAGAACTAAATATCAAATGTCAAATTAAGCGACAGACTGAATTTTTGTGAAAATATTTGTGAAATACCTGCAGTTTTAGATGTAGCTTAAAGCTTCATTTGCTTTGAGGTTCCAACTCCTTTGTATAAGCATACTATTTTGGTTGTGTACATGGTAATTATCTATCAATTGCTGCTTTACTGCATTCCACCTCTTCTGCTAAGTTATATTTCAATGTTAACATGCAATTGAATTTGCCAAGTGTGCTTTCTTTATTATATAATACTAGATAGGTTCCACAACATAACTATTTTGTGTTGGTAGAAAATTCTACCAAGTGGAAGGTTTTTGTTTTAACAGATGGCTGCTGACACAAACAAACAACTTTCCTAGTTTCTGTCTCATTCTCTGTATCCTGGATACCTACTGCTGCACTGGTTGTAAGGGTGCTGAATCGAGAAACATGATTATTTTAAAAAACTCAGCATATGGAGAAGAACAAATAGAAACATGAGCACAAAGCACTGGTATGACGTATTCTGTAAATACTGCAAAAATACAGCCAAATAATTTTTTTCTTTATTAAACAGACATTTCTGAGAAATATATTATGAGCACAAATGACTACATTTTGTCCATAATTATATCTGGGATCTAATATCATAATGATATGCTGGAGCTAAGAATCTGGCTATGTATACTTACTGCTACATACAACAATCTGTGTAACATTCTGCACCAGTTAATTTAATTTAACAATAATAAATCTAATTCTAATTTTGATTATACCACAGTATTACATTAGAGTAGCTACTCATAATTATGGTTCTCTGTGTTGCTATCTGAGTGTCAAACTCAAAGGAGAATCAAATTATTTATACAAGTACAAACGATTAGCCTTTTTTTTACTAATATTTTGTTTTAATCAATAAACACGCAAAGCTCAAAAATACTTAATTCATTTAGGACTTGTATTTTTCGCTACTCTGTAGAAAGAGGTGTCGCTGTTGCCCATAAGACCATTAAAACAAGGACAACTGATGTGCTATTTACTTGTTTGATTTTTCTCTCTACAGAGGAAATAAAATCAATGCCAGCTTCTTCTAAAGAAAAAATAATCAATGAGAAAACAGAAGATTCATACTGAATCGGTCCCTAGAAAGTACCAAAGATATGTGGTTGGAATTTTCTGCAGTCTCGCAAGTAACAACACTCTTTTCTGTCATTAAAAATTCCCATTAAGGGACGGACTCCTGACACTACTGCTAGAAAGCTGACTCATTTTCTTAGATTTTTTTTTTTCAGCTTACATTTTGAAGAAAAAATATTTTAACAGAATATGGAGGATAGTGTCTAGAATGCAGACACAAGAGACCTGTACAGTAATCTGATTGATAATATGACTAACTGTATCTTCAACAGAAGATATTTTAGAGAACTTTAAGTAAGCAAGATAACGTATGTTAATATTGTAATATAATTAAATACTACACCATATAAGATACGATTCAAAAGCTTTTCCATATACAAAGATACAAACATATTCAATATTTACCTATCTCTATATGGAGATACAAAAAGGAATGATATATCAACAAACACACCTTTTCCCGTTTCACCTTATACTGTAACTGACTCTTCACAGCAGTTCCAGTAAGGGTCAACTGTTAAATTTTTAATTAACAATGTAATTACCAAGCTAATTTAAAACTGTATTTGACCATAAAACAACAACATTGTTAAGCATTAATTTTTCAAAAGCTAGGCTTGGTATCCTTTGTAGCTGAAGAAACATTTAGCCATGACTTCCACTGACCATCCGTCTGGTGTTCAATTGGTTGCCCTGAAAGGGTGTTTGTATTTTGAGCCTAAGAACTACTAGAAAGTATGTATTTTTGGGGATTTTGTTGTTGTTGTTGGCAAGTTACTGTCAGGTATAATTTCCTACCTGTCTCCTTAGAGTTACATTGTCCCATCCCTCCCCAAAAACCCTCAGCATATCTTGCAGCTGTGTCATTGCCTACTTGCAGATAAAATTTAAAACTACACTGTGTGAAAAAACTGAGAGGCCAAGGACCTATTAATTACTCTTACCCTTTACTTCCATCTTCTGTGGTTTAACAAATTTGTTGTTACATCGAGATTTTTGCATGCTTGTCAGACTCACATGTTAGATATGCAGACATCTAGAAAGAGGACTACTTAGAAATCAATAAACATAGGCAGGACTTATGACCTTTGCTTAAGGATTCATTTGGCACCGGCTGACCTCTGTGGAACGACAACGCAGAACCTTATGGCAAGATGCCCGTTACTGCTACTGTTGGCAGGACCATAAACTGCTAACTAATTTACACATACTGAAGCTCTAAGTTAGGCCTTAGTCCCTCCGTAGAAAATGCTCCGGTAGGCTCGCAGTTTCACCCAGATTCAACAAAAACTACAGAGTTTAAAGGAGGCACAAAAGTCCAGATCACTGTGGGAAACAACCTGACAGGCCACTTGAAGGCCCAGTATAAGCACATGCAATGAATGGAGGATCATGGTTTATAATTCAGTGTTTTCCTCAGAGATTTGACTGAGTGACAATTTTAAGCATTTAAACACAGCATGAGATATATTACTCATGTTGCGCAAAGTGGCGGGTGCAGAAACACTGAGGAACACTGTCAACGCTTATGTTACTTTTCCCTCCCTCATCCACATCTAATACCACCAATGCATTAAAAAAAAAGAAAAAAAGGCAAAAAGAAGGCAGCAAAGAGGCCTGTATTTTAGTGAGTTTCAAAAAACATGCAACTGGCATAGTTTAAACAGTTATTTCCCTATACTGGTATTCTCAGGTCATAATAAGGGAAGAGCTTTCTTGGAAATATTTCACAGTATGTTAAAGACACATATGTAAATCTGGTTTCCTTTTAAAAACATTTCAGACATTCTTCTGGTGTACAAATACTGCTATTGTTCCCAGAGGACGAAAACAAAACCCCATCTGCAAACATCTATGACGTACTGCTTTGCTTCATTCATGAATACTTTCATTAAAATCAATGGGACTTCACACCCTCCGTTCGTATGAACTGCAACACGGAGAAGACTGGGACCATGGTAACAGATTTCAGTTAATAGGGCTGAAAATCTTACAGTGTAAACCACACGCTTCAGATGCTGTTCGGAACAAAGGATTTCCTGAGGGGTGAAAGTTTGAACATTTAGGGAATTTATCTCCAATTATCAATATTAGAGATATTTAAACTTCCACAAGAAGCCTAAAGAAAAAAGATAAAAGGAGCTTTAGTTTGAGAAAATCAGTCCTAGAAGATTTACCAGAATGGCAATTTACTTTACTGGAAATTATAATAATAATTAAAAAAAAAAAAAAAAGATGGTCACTACAAATTCAGCTGGTTTTCAGCTTCTAATTTACTAGCCAAAACAAATACAATAAAAATTGAAAAGTCTATTGTGTGGTGAAATGGAAACTAAAATTTGTACCTTTCATGTGTGGTGCTTTTTTTTTTTTTAAATCCTGAAACACGTATCTCTGCTGACTTTGAGCATCAGAACTTTCCACACCAGGAAACAATTTTCAGACAGCTACAGATATGCATAAACAAGGGGATTAATAAGAGTTCAAGGTAC